TAGCCGGGCTACAGTTTAAGTTTATCAATAATGTAGTAGGTATTATTAATGAACTTTTCCTTATTTCAAGTTGACGATTGCTAATTCACGTAGTAAATGACCAGCACTTGTATACCCTCCTCAAGTTATAGATAAATACCAGTTTCGTGTCGTGTATTCACAATTTCACTTATCTTTTAACCTATGCTTAAGTTCAGTGTAATATTTCATTTATTACAGCCTTCAGAGTAATAGCATGATTATATATATAATTTATGCTTTATACATTTATTGATCATGGATGACAATTATATAATTGGAAAGGGGCTATCATTGCTTTGTATAGTCATCATATTTAACACTAGAATTCTTTTTAGTTAGTGTATTTCATTCAAGTTTTTTCAAATCTTTGTGTCTAGTGTATTGGAGTAGGCTAAAATAAGGCTAGACGCGGCCAAGTGAAGTCAATGAATCATTAACTGAGGACATCGACTGTTGAACTGAATCTTTTTAGGAGTTGTAGACTACCTGGTTCTAGTGAGAAGCCATGACCAGTGGAGCTAATCTGTGTCGAGTAGAGACAGGCATCTACCTCAGTACAATGGGAGATGGTCGTGCGATTTCGTGGATTGGTTGAGGTTAAACATTAACACTATTGGATACCGGCTCAGTGATCCAGTAGGTCAAGCGTTCACGCGCGAAACTGAAGGCTCTGGGTTCGAATCCCGCGAGCGGGATCGTGGTTGCGCATTGCTAAGAAGTCCCATAATGGGACGAAACGGCCGTCCGGTGCTCCCAGGTTTTCAATGATGGTCTAACATCAATCGATTGATGATCTCAATCAAATACTATTACTACTTTAACTCCTTTACTTAACCTCCTTTGAATTTAATCTCTAACTTTGCTGACATGGTATAGGAACCTGGGGTAATACTTATTTCGTATTATTTATTTCTTATCTTATATATGACTGATTGATTGATCGACAATTATATTTTCTAACTGTAACTGATGGATTTCTACGAAATAACTAAGTTTTCAAATTTCTTATTTCATGATTTTGTTTTATTGAGGATTAAAAGCTTGTTTTATAAAATTGTGTGTATTGATTAATATCAATCATTATAAGAATATAGTATTTCTCCGAATTCAACATCATTTGAACAGGATAAACACACACACGCAATGACCCTTAAAAATCTAATAGTTACTGAACAATCTTTCAACTTTAGTGTCTATTAGTGAAATACATTGTGAATTCAACTGAAATTATCGATATATGTGGCTTTGATTTCTAAATCAACTGGACTAGATCCTATCGTAGTTATTTTACTGATCAAAATATAGAACGACTGAATTTCTGAGGTTGTCAACAATCAAAAACTTACCTTGTAACAAATTGCATGTATTGATCTTTAGTTGGATATGTAATTATCACCATCGTATTTTATCTACAATCACCGAGAGATGTTCACCACCACCATAAACAACAAGTTTGATATTGCACGTTTTATTTTTGCGCAGTTTGTATGACTCATATATTTATATATATAGAAGGGATGTGTACTTTTATCATGTTTTTATTTGTTCGTTTTGCATGTTCGTTCTCATTTTCTCACATATTGTTGGTTATGTTAGTACTGACTGATTTGCAATATGCTTTACACTTATTATTATTATTTGATAAGAATGATACGTTCACAGATGACAATTGTTATGTTTGTTGCCATCATTTTCGTCGTCATCGTTGCTGCTGCTGTTGGTAATGGTCATAGTTATCGTGGTGCCACTTAAGCCTATCTTATCCATATTTGATATGCCTGTTGGTATGAATGAAAGTAGAATTAGAATTGAAAAGATTACTAGTAGAAAGAAACAAGCTGTTGATTTGTAGGTTTCTTTTACTTCAAGTGATATATGTGAATGTCAGTTCATGTACACCCCAATTCCTTCCTTTATTTAATGTTCATTATAATTTTTGGAGATGTTTAAATCGTGCCCCTCCTCAAAAAAAGCCTATTTGTTACTCGTCACTCTGTTTTTTCTTCTTGGTAAGTTTTTAATTTTGTTCACGCAAATCCTTTATACCTGGTATTTTTTATTTTAATCGCAAACACAGACTCGTTTTTCTCTTGTCTGTTCTTCTCTGTCTTAGTATGATAATTTTTTGTCCTGCTCTCAGATTCATTGTAAATTTATTTATTTGCGATTATTCCTTACTTAAGTTTCAACAAGTCTATAGAAGCCAGTGTAGCGCACTGAATTGCGAAGATCTGAAAGAGGTGGAAACCACGTAACTGGGCAGCACCATCGACAAATACGGATGATCTGATACAGTTGTCAAGGCACGAATTAACAAAGCAAGGTCATGATTCATACAGCTAAAAAGTACCTGAAAATTGAAGAACTGTCATTCGACACCAATGTCGGAATGTTTAACATAAATGTTAAAAACAGTTCTATTGTACGGAGTTACAACTAAGAGGACTGCCATAATCCTCACTAAAAAGCTACAGATATTTATGAACATTTCTGTATACAAGATACTTCATATCCTTCGAGCGGAGATCATCAATAATAATCGACTGTGGTGGAGAACAAACTAAATACCAATTGAGGTGAAAATTAGGAAGAGCCTCCGAAGGTGGACAACCATTAAATTGTATTGCGAGGCAAGCCCTAATTCGGATTGATCAAGGTAAAAGGAAAAGATGCGGACTAAATAACACGTGGCGCAGGGAACTGAGGTCAGATATAATGGCGATGAGTGGTAATTGGTAGAAGCTGGAGAGGAGAACCTAGTTGGTTGGAGGTCTCCGGTCGATGGCCTGTGCCCCATGACGGGTAACAGGCTTAAGTAAGCAAATAATTTTTTACAGAAAAGCTTAGCTTTTGAACTACCCGGAACTACGGACAAAATGAAGGGGATTGGTGTATTGGCTTTATTGAATTTGGAGCTATTCATTTCTAAGCTCATGCACGAGCTATAGTAATGGTATCAAATTATAACACAAATAAGTTAATACCTACTCTCCTCTATTCACAAATATTATTTTGAACGGAAGATAACTTTGATCTCAACCCAACCTTTATAGTGTTGTATCGAAGTTCTTTAAGGTGAATATTTACGTTTTTACAGGGTTTAACCATTCGATAATTCAAACACTCCATGTATATTCAAAAGCATTTTGTATTTACATTGAAACCTATCCTAGAAGTATCGATCTTAATTTTTGTTTCTATCTTCTAGTTTTTTTCGCGACAAATTCTCTTCAGGTTGTACAATTATATATCCAAATGAATAATCCCCAAAGTGGTTAGGTTTAAGATAAAAGATATCGTTTATAATTATAGCATGTAAATTTAAGACTGTAAAATAAAATAAAATTTTTAATAATGGGATAACTAATATAAAGTGTTGACTTAATTAAATTTATACGTTAAATGAAATCATGAGTTTATTGGTGAGAATAAATATGATTAACATGATGTGAGAAAGATTATCATGTAATTACAAATGAGAAATTACTTAATATATAGAATAATGTGAATTAGATACGAATTAGTAGATAGAGTTGGATGCTGAAGAAATTTCTCAAAAATATTGACAGCTATTCATTCATATTATCTATGTTTTAATATGATAATAGTTTTCTAGCGACCTACCAATTTATCAATTGGTGCATAATCAGATAGGCCCTGGGTTCGAATCTCGCGGGGGACGGGATCGTGGATGCGCACTGCTGAGGAGTCCCATACTAGGACGAAACGGCTGTCCAGTGCTTCCAGGTTTTCCATGGTGGTCTAGCTTCAACTGACTCATGATTCCAACTATTGAAGTATAATCAGATTGTTGAAAATGTTTCACACTAAATATTTATCATATTATTTTAATACATTTTTACCTTTAGTTACTTTTTAAAAAAAGTAAAATAGGTTAATTAAGATATTAATAGTGATAATCATTGTTCAAAAATCTAATCACACTTACCTTGTTACTTTCTAATGGTTAATCATAATGTGTTCGATTCCAGTTGGAATGTATCATATGTTGTAGGTGGTTAATTATAGTAGTTCAGAAGTTTTGGTAATCTGGAGTCGTCGATTAGTTTGCATTCAGCAGTTTCTGGAATGGATGATTCAACTGTTATTGTTTGAGAAATATCGATTTCTCTTTCTTATTAACTTTTTAGAAGTTTAATAAATTGATAGAGGTTTTAAACACATGCATTTACATGTTATTTGGACAATTAAATCTAGCTTACTAGAGTGATCTTAATAATATTAACTAATCAAAAGATTAGCTACATTTTCTGTCACAATAATTCATAGACAAATAAGCTTAGTAAATAACTATTATTCGATGTTGTAAGCATTTCGCTTTCAATTTTCCAGTCTTTCCTTCACATATAAATTTACTTAAGACATATAAGTTGTATCTCTAGACATCACACTATTTTTTCCTCCAGTTATGTATGCGTATTAATTACTGACATCTGAGAAGGGATCATAGTGATATTGATCGATTCAATGATATTCATATTTATTGTTTTTACTGCATTACATTTGGTGTATATTATTCAACAGATTTTACTTAGTTTGTTTACTGTGACTTTTTCGTAAGATGTACCAATGGTGGTGTTGTTTCTATATAATAGTTCAGATAGATGTTGCACTTGATCATACTGTATTCTCTAAGGTGGATAGTTAAATTGTGTAGTTATCGATTATTCTTAACAATGTTAACTAAGTAGTATCTTCCACATAGGTTTGATATAGTTTTTAATTCATTTTTATTTCAAACTATAAATGTTGCTTCAATTTCACGTACATGTAATGTGTTTTCTTTTTAACGTTAAATGTTTTTGACAGTATTTACTTTCTATTCAACTTAACAATTGATATTTAGTAATGTCATTACCTGCAATTATTCATACTGATCATTAGTATATTATATATATATATATATATATATATATATAACTCGGTTCAAGTGTTATGTTGTTATTTTTGTCTTTTAGAAAAGTTCCCTAGTTGGTTCCTCCTCTCCTTTTGATCCTAAAAAAGTTAAAGTTACTGTTCAGCGTCCTGGTGACCAAAAAGCCTATCAATGTGGACCACATCTTAGAAAAACCAAGAAAACAGACTCAGTAAGTGTATTTTAATTCTTTATTTAAAAAGTTTGTTTTCCCCTTTTTTGTTTAGTTAATTACATGTTTTTGTTGATTATTCAAGCCCTGGTGCGGCCAAGTATGGGAAGGGTCAATCCTCCCTCTCGAAATGCTCTCACACGGCCACGCATATACAGCCATTGCCAGGGAAGTACTGCTCACTGTCTTCTCTCGGAGGGAGCGTTGTTTACGAAATTGAGAGGACGAAAAGCGAATTTCCGGCATTTCGGCTGGGTTAAAGGACACGGAGGATCCACCTAGTGGATTCGGAAAACCGTGATTCCGAACCAATGGTGCACGTAGGCTTCAAAATTGTGAGAGAATAAATGACTTATGAATCTATTTTTAGTCACTGACTACTTTGAACAGGATCTCCTAACGTTGCTCCACTGCCTTATGGATCAGACTTTTAGGTTGAAGACCTGAGGAGTGGCTCTGTAAGGAAACTACCTGTTTTGTTTCTCGGACATTATCACAGCCTTTATACAAATCCCTGATAACTACTACTGGGCTTATTGTTGTGTGGCGCATATGTATTTGGTACCTCGTTGTACCAATGTTTTTGTATGTAAATAATAAATAGTAAAAAATGTGTCTTCGTGAATCACACTGGTGGCATGTTGACTAAATTTTGGGTCAGTTGAAACTATCAGAACTACTCTCTAGAGAATTCTTGCTTATATTTTTATTGTATAGTTATTTTAACGCTTGGACTTCTATGTTGTTATAATCCTGTATTTGAAAGCTTTCGTTTGATCTAGAACTCGTCGTTGTTCCAAGTTTACCTACTATTTTCTTGTTGACCACTCTTCGTGTCATTTATGTCTCAGTTTGTGTATACAATGCAATTTCCCGATTGTGTTTCTACGCAGCGAGAGTATTGAAGGTATACTGTTGTATGAGTTTTGAGTCATGAATGAACAAAGTACGATGGAATTATGTGCTTACTAATTTCGTTTTCTTACTATACACTGGGGTTTGTAAGTAGCCCAAGGACCAGTAACAACTAAGATCTCTTTGGTCCCTTTCTTTATTAAAATTGGTTGTCAGTCTTCCAGGCAGTATAGATGAATAGGATAATAATGAGGCTGGAAGATACAACTGCTCCCATAGTAACAATCTGTTTACACGGACCCCAAACACAGTTCTTGAATCTGTTCCACTTTAGGATTATTGATAGTACCCTCATATCTTATCCAACAAAGAATCTTGTTAATTATTAAGTTGAATGGTATAGTTTTTAATAAAAAAACGTAATCGCATTTTTAGTTTTTCTTCAGTTCTCGAATAAATTCGCACTTCGGTTCGAAGGATCCCTACCATACAGCCTTATGGTCTCGTGCCACGTTTAATCGATCCCGTTCACCTTACCTGTTTATTTTTCATTGTTCTGTTATTTTGATGATATATATAGTATTTCTCAATGTAGTCAATGTAAAGAAAGGTACAACGAATAGCAATATTTCTCGACTAAATATAGCTTCAAATAATCATTCAGGCATTATTCATACTACAAGTTACAGATGGTAATAAGTTAACAAATTGACGTTTTAATAAATGGGTGTTAATAATACGTTATACGAAGATTTGCTACATAGAATATCTTTCGACTGTTCTGAGTATATCTCCGGCGCTATGTCTCGCAAATTCACGTTCCATATCTAACATTCTCTTCCGATCTATATATTAGGTCTGTGGAAACGCCTTCTCTTTCATAATGAATCTTAATGAATATGAAGATCGAGCTAAGAATGATTGGCTCCTTCTTTAAGAAACTGTATAAATAAATTTCACGACAACCTAGACACAGAGTATAAGTGAGGTTACGTTTTCTCGCTACTTAGACTCAACTGTGAAAGTTTGTTTGTTTATTTGTTCTACCTAGATTTTCTCTGTATGACATCAGTTTATGAAATCATTAACTATTGGCCTGAACCTTGTAGGTAGATGTAGACTATCTGGTTGAGGTCCGCGTCGCCTGGTGAAATGGCTCAAAACTGTACTCAATGGGGCTGGTGCATTTACTATTTGTATTCCCTAAGTTTCTAAATCTTTTATAATCCTTCATTTTACTATTTAATATTTTCATCTGAAAACATATCTTCGAAGCTTAATCTTTTTCGCCACTAATATTATTACTACCTCTACTACTGTGAGATTTAACTTGATTATTTCATCTTGCTGTGATAATGGGATGTGGGAACTTGTAACGATGCATACCAAGTTTTACTTTGCGTATTACCAACTGGTTGGTACATAGACTTAATGGTCTTTTATGGGAATATGTTTAAAGACTGTCTCAATCACCCAATTTGAAAAATATTCGATACAGTAATTTCTGTCGAATGAATTTATGGTTGATTTACCATTTTTATTGATACCATTCATTTTTACAGTAGTTTGGTGCCTACATCGGTTGATCGCTATTTTTTAGTATACTGGAAGTTAAAGTTAAACAACTAATCCTTTCTTAAAAATCTAGTTACAAACTTATTCCAGTAGTGTAGGAAATAAGTTCTTGACAGCTCAGATTTTTAATGCGAGATGATTTTTTGTTCTGAAATTTTCCATTTTCCTGTGTTTTTATTTAGATAGAATTCAATTCATAAATAAGCTATAAAAATGAATATACGCCGGTTCAAACTATTTTAGTTTTAAGACGAAATGTTCAGCTCGTAGTATCACTGTGAGAATTAAAAAAACAACTAGCGTAGAATTCTTTGGTCTAGGAGGCGTTATAAATAATAATAATGATGATTGACTACTACATAGAATTTGTGTTATAGATCAAGTTATACCCCTTGGATAAGTATGTATTCTAATGCCTGACTATCAAAATGTTAGTAGTGGAGAGTTCAGATTCATGATAAAACGGTTAAAATGGGCTGTCTAATCTGCTTTTATGTATTTAAGTTCTTACATCCATTCACTTAGTGGAAACAATCTAGCTTTATTCATTAATACAGAAATTTTGCAGAAATTGAATTCGATATTAAATTCAAAAGTTCACGAAAATTATTCTCTATGCTATCATAGAAACTGACTCTCTACTCCTTTGACGACTAAATTTATGTAGCCCATTGTACCATTATAGTATATTTTCATGCGTATTGCAATGTATATTTTGATAGATGGTTAGTTTAATGCATTTTCAGAGTTATTCAGGGTTCCTCTTGTTCATAACTATGAAAGGGGAACCATATATGAGTTTAATAGTGTTGTTTAGGTGAGTCCTGCTTTTTGTTGTGAAGTTTTACGTGATATTGGAAATTCTGTGAATTGCATTTATGGTCTTGAAAAACTGGTATCACTTAGAGCCTTAAATATTTAAATGTACTAACTTGGGGAAAAGCAGATTATCAATTTTATACTTCTACACAGTAATGGACATGAGTTAGTATGAATTCCACAATAGAATTTCATTTCCCCTTCAGTGTGTTATAATAAGTGTTCCTGTTCATACTTTTGTGTGGATGACTATTTTTTCTTAACCAAAATAAGCCTGACAATACAATTACTGTGACCATTACTCTGACATTATAGGTTTGTTTTGACTGGTAAAAAGTGACAGACTTTAAAATCCATCACTTAGTGCTAAAAGCAAATCAAAATTAATGTCATAAATACTTTTTCGACAGTCTAATCTATCCCTGAAACTATTCTATTCTAATTTAATGACAATTTCTATTTACTTGCTTATTTTATTGAAAATTTCAATGGAATTTATGTATGAATGAACTTTCATAAATCTGCATTATAAACAACAAAACTTTCTCAGTTCTGTTTGTTTTTACATATCATCTTCACATAATATTATATGCACATGGTTTTTTGGCGGAACAAGTAAATTCTAAGGTTAGCGAAACCATAATCTTGAATTGATTTAATCTTCATTTAATATTCTCACCTTTTTATTATTAACGCTCTATTATTTTTCTTTTTCGTACTTTCTTGTCATGTGATCCATTTTGCCTTCTTTCGCCCTCCCAAACGCTTACAAACATTTACACACAAAATGATCATAATGTATGTGAACTGACGAAACAAAACCTCATTATAATTTTAAAAATGCTTGTTTATTTGTATATGTATAAAAGGATGCTATCAAAGAAATTAATCGTTGTCGTGAGGAGAATACTACACGTTTAGACTTAACTAAAGGTCAACTACACTTTCTACCACCATCAATACGTGATGTTGCACATCATCTAAAAGAACTTTATCTATATTGCAATAAATTAGTGAATTTGCCGAGTAAGCACTTGTTTTATGCTTGTGTGTATGTTAAACAATTTGTGTTACATAATTTTCATGTTTTTCTTTATTTGTCTGTTTTGTGAATAGTAATAATAATAACGGTGGAGTTTGCTTCATTGTATTAAATCTTCATGGCATTTTTATATTTGAAGATACATACGTTGTAATGTAATCGGTTGAATTCTATTATCACTGAGGTCTGGACGACCATGACATTAGCTGTTACTCCGTGGTCAGTTAATGTGGAAATTGCAGTCCTACAACAGGCATTAGCTTCCTCGACATTAATAAGATCCTCATTCTGACAGCTGTAAGTAGCATCAAATGTAAGTTCAGGGCTTTCCGCTGATTCCGCATTACTGCATAACATAAAAACGAATTGCAGCCGTATATCAGTCCTCTTAACTTTTTACTTCAAATATACAACATGATGAATAGCAGATTTTAGTATCAGCATTAAGAACTAAATAATATGACACAACCCAGTGACTAATTAGTGTCACCTAAAGTTTGGTTATCTCAGTATCTTCATAAAAATTCTTAACCAATCGATATGTCTATAACCAACAACCTATACCTCTATGAACTGATGTAACGTTTTAGTCTAGCCGTTCATAGTCTTTTACTATCTACTAATATCCCTGGATACCATGAAAAGTCTGCTTCAAAAATGTACCGTCAAAGTTAAACCTCTGTGTTACTTAGTGATTACACCAGACCACTGATACTGCAATGACACATTTATCGTCTATTACTATCAATGATGCATATACGTTAATATTGGGTTGTAGAGTTTCATTGAAATGACATACCAATCTAAGTTATATAACTATTGAAAACCTGGAGGCACCGTTATTATTTATGCGTAAAACCGAAGATCTTGGGTTCGGTTCCTGGTTTCTAGGTCATGAATTTGCACTATTGAGGAGCCCCATACTAGGATAAAATGGCTGTCTAGTACTCCCCGGTTTTCAGTGTTTTCCTAACCTAGATGAGCTTGTGATTTTAATAATGCATATGCTTGTACCTTTTAAAATTAAGATACCTGTATATTTTGTATTATTTGTAATTTCGTACCTTTTTTCCACTAATCAGGTGTAGTGTTTTCTACTGAAATATATGTACACGCATATGTGTTCACGTTACATGTTGTACACATTTTTTTGGGAATATAGGCGAATTGCTTTATTTATCGTTGATCTATCTGATTTGCTACATATGCTTGTGTTGTTTTCTTTCATTACTTTCCTTTCCACTTTTTTGTTTTATATGTTTAGATGAAATTGGTACATTGTTTGCATTGGAAATTTTAATGGTACAAGAGAATTCATTAAGTGATCTGCCAGAAACATTAGCACAATGTACACAATTACGTGTATTAGATATAAGACATAATAAATTATGTGAAATCCCTCAAGTTGTTTATAAACTACATAACTTGACACATTTATTTCTACGTTTCAATCGAATTCGTGTAGTGGATGAAGAAATTAAATATTTAACCGTAAGAAAAATTGAATTTTAAAAAAGGCTTTTTATTGCTTGTTTTTTGTTCTTATTTGAACATATTTTTCATTTTCTCAAAAGTTTATTACAACATTTTAATGAAAGGTGGCATTTCATTTAAACATATATAAAAGGTCAGTAAGCAATCTTATTTGGATGTTAAAAGTAAATACTACCTAAATATGATATAGTGTATATAATTCGAACATAAGTCAGCATTAGAATCCACTGATCGCTGAATAGCAACCAATTTCATTTTTGTCAAATCCTTTGTTGCTGATCGATTTCTATCCATTAAGTTACAATGTAGTCACTAGTATAAGTGACTTGAAATCACATTCGCTACATTTATGTGTGATGTGGTTGGAAGTAGTCGACAGGAAGCTCTCTTTGACCTAAGCTTTGTGCTAATTGGCATTTATCAGCAAAGAGTACTCTAAATCTTAAGGGAATCGATGTTATCTGTGCAACTCAAACATATGTGTGTCACTCAGCTTCCTAGTCTGAAGCGCTACCACTGAATCAGTTTTTTTTAAAGTTTGGTTTTAATTTTAAAATCATCTTAATATTACTACTAATTCGGCTTTGTAACTTTTATCATTATTATTAATATGAATTTCGATAATGCAATGAGAAGACGAAGTTTATCAGAATTATATGATATATTTGCGCAATACATTTCGAACAATCTGATCACACATATACTTGTTAAGATATTTTTATATCTAAATTAAGAGGTCAACTAGACAGGTTAAAGGTAAGCCATCACAAAAAAGAATAATAATATTAAAGTACACAAAAATAAATGTGATTACCATTCTGGATAATAAATCAGTATTACCAGTGTAGGTTAAGTGTAAGGAAAAATTGTTTCTGAACGCAGAAAGGGGATTTCAATTTCCATATAGCCATGGCTTCAATAAGCCGTAGTGTACGTCTTTGAAGGCTTTTGTATAACACTACAAATGCTGACTTGATTTCAAACTTATGACCAATCTCAATCAAATGTTTCGCAATGGAGGATGATGTCTGTGATCTTATTGGACCATTGGAATTCATTTGTTTCTGCAGCTATTTCGGTATGAGTTCACCCACCCTTAATTGCAAATCACGATTGCTCCTCCCTATGTACGTGTTTCTGCACATATATGTAAATTGATAGACACAATGGGATGTGACACAATCGCTTTCGTGCTGTTTGGGCTTTTGGTGAAACACAGACTTTGCCTTTTCGATAATGATAAGTTGAGCTGTATAAAATGTCCGGTTGGTAGTTAATTTAAGTCTCGGTTTCAACACAAGACTATTTTTGTCGCTTCTGAATGGTAATGTAATGTAAACTCGTTTTTCGGGTGCCAGAAGCGTCATAGGTCTAGTCGTATTGCAACCCTTCCAGCGGTTTATGAACTTCAAAGAATAACCATTATTCATTAACGTATCAGTCAAGAGCTTCGTCTCCAAGGGACTAATTGTTTTAAATTAATATGAATATTGTTATTATTATTATTATTATTATTATTATTATTATTATTATTATTATCGGCAGATCCGCACTGTAATTCTCTATGGCTAACTTGTTTATTGTTATTGATTTAGTCATTTCGATTATTTACATATTTTTGAAGTAACAAACGTAGCTAACCTAGATGTTTTGTATTAAAATTATCTCATGACTTCTATTACCATTGTATTTATCATACCCTGGATAGACAGCCATATTTATTATACCATTCATTTTACAATATTTTAATTGATTGAATAGCTTTTATAATCATTGGTTATTAACCAATCATACTTCATTCTTGTTATGTGCGTATGTTTGTTTATCTATTAAGATTTCTGTTAGTTTGTATATGTTTAGCTTTGATCATTTGGACTATAACAATAAGACCCTAGATCATTTGGATGCATATTTTGTGACGATAATTTTCACGATTTAAAAAAAACACAACGATAATCGCACTCTTTCCGTAATAAAAAGTATCATTTTCGTTATTACAATATTTCTTTTCGTTAAAATCATGATGTAAAATATCATTTAATCATAACATATTCATTAAGATTTTTTTGATTTTGCAAGTAAACTTAAAAAAATTGATGATCAAGAACCACATGGTAGACAAAGTTAAAAGATAACTAATAGATCAACTAGAAAAAATTATACAACAAAGTTTAATCTCAGAAATCCTGTTTGAAGTGCTGAAGTTGACAGGTATAATGACAATAAGACTATTTGGTTTGCCTAAGATACGTGAAAACAACATTCTATTCATACCGGTCTTAGATAATGACTAATTTTGATTATCATACTACAACGATATGGTCAGTAAATAATTCTGGAACCAATGAAATGTTAAAGCAATGGGTAATTGAAGATTATTCGAAATATATAATCATGTGAGATAGGATATCATATCGTTTTCAAGGATGCTTTCGTAGACAAGGAGCTCATATCAATAGAATATACTACCGTTTTCTTAATATTAATGTTTCATAAATGATCGACCAACTTGAAATCTCTCGGTGAATTCTTGCACTAACGACTTCGAATATGGTTCAATAGTTTCGTTAGCCACATAGTTAGATTATGGGTAGGCAATTGACACGTGCATAAAATTGGTGGTAGACGGCTGTTAGTTTTATGAATTTGAGGGGATCCTTTTAAATGCGAATATTCAGAACCCACAAGTTTCCAGTTACTAATCTCCCTTTTATTCAAGATAAAAGTGTCTAGCAGTTTCACTAAAATTGAATTTACTCTTCCCTGACTTACTAATTCCTTAAAGTTAGGTATCAGTTATAAACTTAATTTCATCATGATGAATAGGTATGATCTTGCTTTCGTGAAAACATACAATAAAATGATTTATTCAAAACTATTGACAAACACCCATCTTCCTCCATTGCCAAACAAAGTTGGACATAGGTTATAAGATTAATCTTAGCTCAGCCTTTATGATTTTATGCAAAGGTTGTCTAGGGTGAATAGTTAGGTTTTTTGGGACATCTATATAGAATTTCAAACCCTTTTTGTTTGTTTGGAAACGATTTGTACTTGCACTAGACTGACGCTGTTATTATTGATTTATCACATTGTTTTTCTAATTATTTTGTTTTTCTCTCATACTACAACTTGTCTAGTTAACCTATATATATATGGTTTATCAAAATGAATTTTATTTCGGTGTAAGAAAATTCATTTTTGTCACTTTGAATTGACACAAGAATCAGCTGCATTTTTCTTCATTCGCTCTTTGGTTAGGGTTCTTTTATATGACCAGTATTCAAGTTCAGTAATTCATTTGTGTTAAAAATCAAGGGGGTTAGTCATCGAACTACTGTTGCATAATGTTGATGTTGTGATTTATCTTTATTTTTTTGTAAAATTAAAATCAGAACTTTTATCAGTTTTTCCTTATTATTTTGCTTTAAACAGAAGCTTCAAGTTCTTAGTTTACGAGAGAATAAAATCCATACACTCCCAGCTGATCCTGGTATCGGTCAATTGACCAATTTGATTACATTAGATGTTTCACATAATCATTTGGAGCAATTATCTGAAAGTGAGTTGATTTATGTATTCACATATATATTAATCATCATATATGCTTCATAGTTAATTACATCATCCTACTTCTTGCATCACCTATATTCCTTACTTTCCTAAGACTGATATTTCATGAATATGTTCAGGGCATAACCCAAAATTGTTTAATTAGGTGAAATTTGGCTATGTCATCACATCGTGTGTATTTGATAATGTACTGTAATATACTCTATGTATTGAAGCTCGCTAGAACTCTAACAGTACTTATTTGAAATTTGACAACATCTGTTCAGATACTAACGGAATTGCTATTAGTCTTACTAATTAATACACAGGTTAAGGAGAATGATCAACACTTGGAATCACTTATTTTTATTGAATAATGAGTGTTTGGGTATTAGCATGATATACAAAATAACTTGACTTTTTTATTCAAGATTTTATAAATTCGTATAACAAATTTCCAAGATTTTCGTTTCATACATCTCTTGAATTAGATTTTCGAATGTATCATCAGTCAACATAATGATATGCATACTGTTAAGTTGTTTTTGTAATTTCTAAACAAAATCTATCGTAAACTTCAACAGAATTACCTTATCTGTATGCTAAGATTATGTTCTAAATGATTGGCAAATATTTTCGGTCAAAGACTACATCAACATAAATACCTAATTGTGGTGTGGCGGATATATAAAATTTCAGTATGTTTTTAAACTAAGATGTCCATCTGTCTGCAGAAAATAGAATAGTCAGCAAGCTCAATTGTAGTGGATATATCATACTCTGACAGATGATATCTTTCTGATCAGATTTCAGTGAGACTGATTGTTTACTAAAATGCTAGGAAATAAGAATGAATGGATTTCTCAGCGTGCTCAGATTGTAGATTGAGTTTGTTTTCTAGTGCTTTAACTTCTGTACATAGTTTATGTCCAAAAATATCTTTATTCTGCGAATTCTTAATGAATTTATTCAGTATATGAAGAATGTCAACAGCAAATGGAAAATCAGAAAGCCACTCGATTATTTTTCATTATATTTAAAAACTCATTCGTTGTGTTTTTCATTTCGGGTGAATATCACAATTTCTTCTAGGGTTTCAGACCATATCCCAGAGAATAAAAATCAACTTAAGCAAATGTATAAGGCATTTAATAAAATATTCTTTAAGATCTTTACCTGAAGTTCTGTGGTTTTTTAAACTATTTTCATATTATCTCACTTTTTGGCTGCTCGTTAAATATATATATCTACATGGTTTTCTTGGCCTTTCTGTACCTCAATTCCCCCTGCTATATACAGTTTGTGTTTGTATGATAAAAGTTACATTGGTGCAGATTAATTATCTCAGAGTTTTGTTATATTTAGTATATGGTTAACAATAGAATACAGAGTCCACGTTTCACCCTATTTCGACTCACCAGCTGGGTGTGTATTGTTCTTAGTGTTGGTGTTCACAGAAATACTTGGACCCACTTCTTATTTCTTCAAAAGTCAACGTGCTATCCATTAAGCTACTGCATTCAAGTAGCCACTAACTGATCCAACGGATGTGAACATCAACATTGGGATTTAGGTACATAAATATGACGAGTTGCAAACAACAAATTGCTCATCTTGGATTTCACTGCTAACCGAATACCAAATATTATTGAAAGTTATGTTGAGGCAATTCACTCTGAGCACACGTATGACGACAGAGGTTGACCAATTACTGTTCTGAATATCAACGATTAAAAGTTACAAACGCTTACTAACATCTAAGAGTTATTATATTTCATTTCTATTTACTTCATGGACTTCTATGAATTAGATTTATCTTCCATGGACTATTTCTTGTAACTCTGGAAAGTATATAATAAGAAAAATACACACTAATTTAGTAATTCGACTCAAGTTCTTCTTACGTGATTTGTTGTTGTTTGTAACTTGATTTTATTTGTTCAAAGTGAAGTCCATGAATCAAGGTGTGAATCTGCACTCCTAATTATTATTATTATTAATTTTATTATTATTATTCGAGTACATGTAGTTTGTACACTTTGATCAAAGTATAATTCACCATATCGCCATACAGATAATCAAATCTATGCAAATTTTAGTCAACTATAAATAACAGATCCTGTATAAATGTGTATTAATTAAAATACTATTTAATTGATACAGTTTAATGTTTATGTATATTAAACAATCATTATCATTAATGTTTTTCCATTACTATAATATGAAATATTTATTAAATAAGAAATAACTTTTAATACATCTAGCCTATGTACTCCATATATACTGATTAGATTTAAATACGAAGTTACTTTCATTAAAATATATTTTTTTGTTTCCCTAAAGTTAGTCGTTTTCATCACAGAATAATTTCATTGAACTCTCTTTTCTTCCGTACTTTTGAACGCCTAAACTCTGTGTTACTTTGGAAATTTTCAAGTGTTTCTAAAGGAAAACAATATTCAAATTAATCGTTAAATTAATATCTCTTCTATTAGCTAGTAGTTTTATTTTAATGTTACATTATTTATTTTCGATATTATTTTGATGTAATTTGAAAAAAAACTATACTTTGAAGGTGTCCCGAGGATAAAAAATGTATATTGATCAATTTTTTCTATTGTCTATTATTTTCCTTATTGTTAAGGCTTTCTACTCAGATTTCTGGATTACTATTTACATATCTCCATTTTAAACATTATCACAGTCACGGTTGTTCTCTTCGCCTTATTGGATGTTTGTTTATTATGTTTCATCGTAGTATGGGATTCCTCGATGACATTTGTTACAGAGACAATATTTTTCACTTAAATGTGACATAGTGCTTTAAAGATTTCATGTTCATCGCGTAATTGGGAATTTATAATTTAAATTTAGTGGATAAGGTAACAATAAAGGGATACTTTTGAGTAGCAGATAAAAAAATATGATAACTATTCAGATCTCCTTGTATTTCTCATGTGATCTAATCCCATTCAGTTAGTGATAGATGTAATCCTTAAAGAAAATTATTGTTTATATTGTGTTATTTTAATTATGTATGCTCATTTCGTCTCAATATTGGTTTTTGTTCTCTCTGTCTCTTTTCTTCCTACATAAAATGAAGAAATTGGTCATTGTCAAAAATTGTGCACATTAAGCCTACAACATAATGAACTACGTTCGCTACCGAATACAATTGGTGATTTAAAAATGTTAGAAAATATTGGCTTGAAGTTAGTTATAGTTATTATGAAATATGTTTTCATTTCTCTTTCTATAGTTTATTTATATGTGATTAATTGTCAAATTAGTTTTTCTGTTTCCTTGGTTAACATTCACTTTTTTCGAAAAAAAAATCATGTTTATGCTTACATTTTTAATAGTTTTACGATATTGTTCCAGAAATATTTGTCCAAAAATTAATAATTCATTGCTTTTCCAATGATATTTGAATTTCATCATTGTCGATGGTCGTCTATTCAAGGTTAAACAAATATGTTTCTTTTCTAAAGAGCTGTTTCTACTACTTAGCTACAGCAGGAATGCCGTTTCATAAAAAAACTCTCAAATATTTTTTATTTAAGATACTGACATGAATCTCTGATAATCATTTACTGGATTATAGCATTAAAACTGTCACTTTATAAATGACTTAAATTCAGTATTATTGAGTTTTTCAGTAGTTTATTGTAATTACGAATCATTCTTCTAATCTTAGTGTGTACTACTTACTGTAGATTTAGATGTGTTAGTTTAAATGTGAATTTAAGCTTATTGAAAATCATAAATGAGAATGTTTGTCCACAAGTGTAAGTTAACCCGAAAAAGTAAACATTTTACTTGCAAAAGTTTTCGAAGTTTGAAACTTATTTATTTCTAACGATAAAAGGAATGTTTTTATGTCTGAAAGGTTCATTCAGGCTATTTTTGGTTTAGTGATTAAGGTATTAATTCCTCGTGAAGACTGTGATTATCTCCTCCATTAATATAAGAAAATAGAACAGTCAATAATTTCAAGTTTAGTTTAATCGCGGTAAATTTCTTAAAACGTCGTGAAATTTTTGTACTCTGACACTATATTATTAATCGGATTCCGGCTAGATTTGTTTTTGTTCTTATTCTCCTGTTTCAAGCGTAATTCTTTTTTTGTTTCATGTTGCCTAAACAACAGTTTATGCATAAAAAAACCATAGCTTAATACTCTATAATAAAATACAATGTTTCCTCAAAACCATTTCAAATCATTTTACTTCTGAACTTTTTTTACGCATATTTCTAAATAGTCAGAGTTTTCCCTACCTCTGTTAACATTCCTTTCTCAAAGATTCATCGTTTCGCATAATTTAGTAGACAGATAGATGTTTACTGAACTGTATTTCTTATTTACTAATTGCTTTATTTATACATTTTATTCTCTGCAGATATAATCACTTGGAATCATTACCAGATTCGTTAGCACTTTGTACAAATCTCTTAGAATTAAATATTGAAGGCAACAATATTTGGCAGTTACCGGTAAGTGTAAATATTCTTCATTGAGTTCCCCTTTTTATTTTTTTGCCGTGTTTGTTTTCTTTGCGTAAACATTCTATATTGAATTCAACTATTTTAGAGAAAGTGAAACCCATACACCATATATACATGAAATAATAGTTTTTAAAAACTAATGGTTATGAAAAAGTTTACTTTAATTTAAGGAATTATTTTGTTACCTGTACAATAACATAAAAACTGTCTGTTCGAATAAATCATCAACAAAGTTGTATTTCAAAAATAAAGAAGACGAACAATAAACTCTCTCGAGAATTATTATTAAAACAATTAAAGCTGTTTGGTTGGCTGCATACACATTTTCATTAATTTACAAATTGAATAAACGTATTCAAATAAAAGCATAAAATTTTAATAGTTTTTTTTAAATAGAATACTGATGAGAACTTCACATCTGTATCTGTTAAATTTGTTGTTTTACATCAAAAGTGATTGTACATACATTAAGTCGAACCTTTTTTCGTTATAAATTGTTATTATTATCATTTTAGACATTTAAGTAGGTCATTTTATATTGTTCGTGAATGGGATTCCGATATGAATTAGTGATGGATCTCTGAAAAATATTCATTTGCAGAAAACAAACATCAAATGACTTAGCTACTCAATCTCTATGTTTGTGTTCCATTAATCAGAAAGAGGAATTTTATTTGTTCTCAGTATTATCGAATATAAAAGATTTTATCAGAAGGGGTTTGTGGAGATTTTTAGAAATTTTCACAGATTGATATCATGAGTCAGTTGAAGCTAGACCACCATTGAAAACCTAGAAGCACTGGACGGCCGTTTCGCCCTAGTACGGGACTCCTCAGCAGTGCGCATCCACGATCCCGCACCACGCGGGGCTCGAACCCAGGACCTACGAAGTTGCGCCACCATATACCATTGTCTTCAGTGAGCTGATATCCCACAACAGACCTGGTTGTACTCCACTGGTAACGGCTTCCCACTAGAACTCTAGGAGTATCTCTTGAAGTCAGTCACTAGTGAGCGGATGATGCTGGCCCAGTGGTCTGATGGTTAAGTGTTTGCTCGCGAAGCCAGTAGGTCCTGGGTTCGAGCCCCGCGTGGTGCGGGATCGTGGATGCGCGCTGCTGAGGAGTCCCGTACTAGGGCGAAACGGCCGTCCAGTGCTTCTAGGTTTTCAATGGTGTTCTAGCTTCAATTGACTCATGATTTCAATCTGTGAAAATTTATAAAAGACTTATCTTACTGTATGGGGTTAAGGAAAAACTCTTTTTTAGTTTTGAAGAACGACAAAAAGATACGACAAAATGTTTCACAATTTTCATTGTTATTATTCACAGTAATATAAAAGGTAGTATTAAAATATTTCTATTACATCACATGTTCATTGATTGTTTCCATATATTCACAAAATGAATATCTGTATATATTACAAATGATTATTTTATCATTTTTGAAAGACTAGCCTTTCCTATCTTTATTTAGATATAAAAAATCATGAAAATATTGTCAAATACATTTTTTAGTGTTTGTTTATCTTTTATTATCAATATTTTCCTAAGGACAATTCATTCTATTTATTCTTTTCTTGTTGTCATTAAATTATTCTTAAGGAGGGACTGCTAACACATTTGAAAAAAGTTTCCTGTGTGACATTGTCAAGAAATTATTTTAATATTTTTCCATCTGGTGGTCCTCAGCAATTTACTTCAATACAAGTTAGTTATGATCTATAATCTTTCATTAAGCTTGTATTTGAGGTATTATTTACCAATAGTGTTCGGTAAGAATATTTTAAGTTATGTGCTTAGTTTGATCACATCTATTTTAATACTTTTATTGTTCGTAACTGAGCATTTCCGTTTTAAGTATATTCAAGATTGAATTGATCATCATCCTCTGTCGACATTTCGAACTATTTAGACCTCAGAAATATAATCACATAAGCCTTCATATGTTGATGCGTAACAAAATGTTGACCTGGGCTTAGAAAGCTCACTTGACCTTTTCCAGCTTGAAATGGCTTAGAGTCGGATGGTCTAGAAGTTGGGTGTTCGCGCGCGAGACCGAAGGCCCTGAGTTTAAAATCCCGCGGGCGGGATCTTTGATGCACACTGTTGAGGAGTCCCACAATAGGACGAAATAGCCATCTAGTGCTTCCATCTCCATATTACTCAATTAATAACAAGTATCAATTTATATCAGTGTTGTTATTATTGTTTGTCATAATCTATCACTTCTTTTGTTTTATTTAAACTAGTGTTAATTTATTCCGGTTATTTATTTACTTTGAAGAAGTGGCTTACATTAAGTCACCAAATAGAATTTTTCTACTCATTGGGATATAGCAAAAAATATATTTATTATTAACCTTTTACCCAACCTTTGCATTGATGCCTATAAATCTATCACTTCGTTGGCTCATTCATGTCAATCGTTTTGTTATTTTCCATTTTTATTCATCATAAATCCGATTCAACTAATAAATTCCTTTCTTTATTTTTTCCAAAAAAATATGCCTCAAACTTCAGTCTCTCAATATGGAGTACAATCAGATAACTCGAATACCGTTTGGTATATTTTCACGAGCATCAAATTTAACTAAATTAAATATGAAAGATAATCAAATCGGTGCTTTTCCACCGGGTAAATGCACTCCTTCATATAATTTTTTTTCCTTTATCCAATATTGCTTATTTGGTTTATATCTACATCGAAGCCATGCTTTTTCATTTTTCATTTTTGCCGTTTATAATTACATTCATGCATACTGTATTCTATGTAAAAATATCTATGCAAATAATATCCACCAATCAATATCAGTCATGTTGGGTGTGAGACTGTTGTCACCGATAGCATCAAATGATCGTTGCGCAAATTATTACGTAAATTAACTGAAGTTGTAGTTATACTTTTGGACTTCAACCCATGCTGTTCTAATGGTTAAGCGTTTGCTGTAAGACCTGAAATTCTTGAGTTTGATCCTTGATGTGAGGCTGTAGGCGTTCAGTGTTGAGTCGCATGCTAGGATTAAACAGCTGTATTATGCTTATTTTTAAATGATGCCCCAATTGACTGTTACCAATACCACCTATCAATATGAAAATAAATTTACTAGTGATTTTTTATTCTTGCACAGTCAGATTGTATTGAAAGTGGTATGAATAATCATGGTTTATGATGTGTTCAAATCAAAAGTTGATTTATTAGTGATTTTTATGTATGTATATGTGTACTTATGAGAGTTCCGAGCTACTAGTATATCCAACTGTGTTTGTCAGCTTGAGTTCATAATCTGTAGTTATTATAGCGTATATATATATATATATATATATATATATATATATATATATATATATATATATATATAATAGTTTTAAAAAATCACAGTTCCAGATCTAATCTTTACATTCTCACTAGACTTAGCCTAACACACATAATCTTTAAATCTTCAAGTTATCGTATTTAAATTCCAGTGATATTACTTGGCTTCCAATACTAAAGATAGTAGAGTGCACCTCGGAATTTAGTAGTTAGGGCCTATATAGCAAACTTAAATTCATTAAACCTTGAGTCTCGAGCATTACTTTTGCGCTGATGACTGATTGTGTTAAGACATTCGATCTATAAATTTACAATCTAGTGATTTAATCACTCGTTTTGTCAATTTTATTAATTTCACAGGTCGAAATCATGAGTCAAATTTCATAAAATCTCCACAAAACTCTTTCTGATAATTTTATTAATTGTTATTAATCTTTTAGTTTGCTTTCTATTGTCTCTACTATAAAATGTCATTCACATCCTCGCCTTACATGACCTTTTTAGATAGAAAACATTTCAGTGGTTATTACTATTTCTACTCCTACTACTACCACTACTACTACTACTACTGCTACTACTACTACTACTACTGCTACTGCTACTACTACTACTACTACCACTACTACTACTACTACTGCTACTACTACTACTACTACTGCTACTACTACTACTACTAATAATAATAATAATAATAATAATAATAATAATATCAAATATATTGACATTAATAATGATAATTATTATTATTGTATATGGATTGCCTTAGTTTATAATTAATATTATTTTTAAAATATTATCTCCGTTTATTTTATTTATTCCTTTTGATTATGTATATATTTGATCGTTAATTATATCTATATACTGGGAAATGTATATAAGATATTAAAAGTTGGACAAGTTTAGTTGAATTAAATGTTGGTACAAATCAATTAACAAAGCTTCCAGATGACATAGAATATTTAATTAATTTGGAAGTATTAATTTTGAGTAATAATCAATTAAAAGTGAGTTATTTCTATTTTATTTCTGGTACTTTATGATATTCCTTATATTGATGTATACATTTATATACATGCATGTGTGTTCTGTGCTGGGTACATTTTAATTGTACACTTTATATAGAAACAGTGATTGTTTATTTCTTTTACATCTATCTTGTTCCAATATTAACTTGTTATATCAAAATGGTGGGGATTTCAGTTGAGAGGCAATGTATTTTAAATTGTGGAAGACAACTATATTGTGAATAATATCTGAGTAAAAAAATGTTTAATTCACTAATTCATTAACAAGATTTTAAGATGATGAAATTACAAGATGATAACAGTTGGTTATTTGAACAAAATCTTTTCACCCATTCATTATATACCATAACTACGAGGACGATTTGTGGTTTTCATTTTGATACTTCGCTTTTAGGTGGTTGAAAGAAAACTAGTATAACTCAGTCATAGATTATGAAGTTAATTGAAACATGTTTGTATCCCACAGAGAGGACTGGGATTCTTGATGATTACATATAGTCACTCAATATTTCAAAACAGTACACACGATGTTCAGTCACTTAGATCAGTTCACACAATTAACATTGGTTGACAGTATTTGATTAGAACTGAGGGTCTGAATGAACATGACAATGGTCACTACTCTGTAATTAATTAACTGTTGACATTGATTACTTATGTAAATGAGATTATTTATATTTTAATGTTGGGTTTCATCTTGAACTAATTCTTTGTGATGAATAACTGAAAAAATTGATGACAGTACTATGAAGGTTGTTGACACAGGATGGAAATATATCGCTTTTCTTTTTCACACAAAAATTTTTCATTTATTATTCATTGGTTTGTTACAAAAACAAATCGTCAAATGGCAAAATTCGTTGTCTTATTCTATCCAATATCTCATAATATTGTTTATGTTCAACAATCTTATTTTAAATTCTTATAATTAGCAGTAAAATTGATCATAATTCATTGAATACTATATGAGACGTCTTGTAATTGATAACTAAAAGTATTAGTGAAGTTTTTCTTTAAACAAAATGTTTTTTTTTTAGAAATCATCTTACTACTTATATTGTGTCTAGCTGATTTATTTCTTAAGAATAATATTTATAACTTCAACAAAACTGTATATTGACTAGTCTGATTAGAAATAAATAAACAGAAATGAAACAGTAGAATACAATCAGTTCATATGGAATAGTTATAGTTGAAAACGGATAAAAATCAGACATTCATGTTTTTTTTACCATTGCGTAAAACCTTTGAATACTGTTCATTGAGATTAAGTTCCGAAATCCAATCTTATTTTCTTTGTCTTTCTGTTAAGTTTTTTTAATATGACTCAACCGTCTCGAGTGACTATGGATAGTATGATTATTCATTCGAGCCCCATGGAACCTGTAAACAAAATCGTTTTGACCCTTTTGATAGATTATTATTAATGTTTATTATTATTATTATTTAAATGTTATGTTACAAATTGTTGGTGTTGGGTAAAAAAGCCTCTTATTTATTTAAATTGAATGGCTTTATTTGATTGAAAACATTAAAACCAACCGTTTGAAAAGATTTGTTTTTCAGTGTTATTTGGAGATGATGGTTTATTCTTGAATATTCTTGATTAAATATTAATTAATTTTCAACTCTTGGATTAGAGGATATATTCAAGTAACTGGTTATTATTATTGCAAATCTTTACAAAAAATAAATAAATAGAAATAGTGCTATCGGTAAATAAATCTTAATGAAATAAAACCATAAAACTAAACAATCATGGATAGATTAAGTTCCTTCCAAGAAGAAAAATTCAAACAAGACAATGAAAGTACTTGTTTTTCTGATTTTTCTTTGTTATAAAGAGTAATAGATTTTCATTATTTTCATGTATTTTTGCTTGTGCATGTAAGGTATGCGTATATTTTTATCAGTTGCTCAACCAATTCTTTTCATATGTACATTTCTCTAATGTGCCATCACATAATAAGTGTGAAATCTTAAACATGACGTTATTTCAAAATAGAATCATATATATTGTATCTCATTGTCTTAACTAATATGCGAATGTAAATTTCCTTGAAATGAAAAATTCCAGTTAATATAAACAGTAATCGAACGTATAGAGAAGATCGTAATCAATTCAAAAGAATTCATTTCGACAAAAAAAAAACAAATAGACCATAGGTGATATTGCTGCACCATTTATGACATAAGAATTATTTGTAATGACTACTACCTAAATAAATGTACGTGTTTTTGCCTTTGTATGTGTAGACTTACTAATCCCTCGAGGAGGGGCATAGGCCGCCCGCAAACATTCTCCATCGAACTCTGTCCTGGGTTATCCTTTCCAGTAACTATTCACACTCTGGATATCTGTTAACAATTCTCGGCACAGTGTGTTCTTTGATCTTCCTCTTTTCTATTTTCATTCAAGATTCCAAGTTTGTGCTTGCCTCGTGATTCAGTTTGATGATTTTCTCAATGTATGGCCTATCCACTTCCAAGGTCTTTTCTTAATTTCCTCTTCAGTTGGAAGCTGGTTTGTTCTCTCCCATAGTAGTCTGTTGCTGATGGTATCTGGTGAACGGACGTTGAGTGTCTAGGGTAGACAATGGTTTATAAATACTTGTACTTTTTTGATGATAGTTGTAGTAGTTCTCGAAGATTCAGTTCCGCACATTAGAACTGTCTTGACGTTCGTATTAAAGATTGTGACTTTGATAATGGTTGACAGTTGTTATGAGTGCGACATGTCCTTCAGTTGTAGAAATGTTTCCCTTGGTTTGTCAATCCTCGCCTTTACATCCGCATTAGATCTTCATCGTTCGTTGGTGATGCTGTTCGGGTACGTAAACGTTTCCAGAGTTAGTCAGTCGAGTGTGTTTGTGTTAGTGTTCTCCATGTTATATTTGAGGATCTTAATTTTTCCATTGTGTATGTTGAGGCCTATTTACAACTGAAGAACACCTGGATTTCAAAGCAACTGTCAACCAATATCAAGGTCAGGATTTTCAATACAAATGTCAAGATAGTTCTACTGTATGGGGCAGAAACCTGGAGAACTGCGAAAGCCATCATCCAGAAGATACAGGTGTTTATTAACAGTTGTCTACGCAAAATACTTCGGATCCGTTGGCCAGATAATATTAGCAACAAACAACAGTGGGAGAGAACAAACCAGATCCCAGCGGAGGAAGGAATTAGGAAGAAGCGCTGGAAGTGGATAAGACACACATTGAGGAAAGCACCCAACTGCGCCACAACACAAGCCATCATTTAGTATCCTCAGGGCCAAAGGAGAAGAGGAAGACCAAAGAACACATTACGCCGAGAAATGGAAATAGACATGAGAAAAATGAACAAGAGTTGGATAGAATTAGAAAAGAAGGCCCAGGATAGAGTGGGTTAGAGAATGCTTGTCGGCGGCCTATGCTCCATTAGGAGTAACAGGCGTAAGTAAGTATCTTGAGGCCTACCGCTGCAGAGGCTGCTGTCTATTTACCTGTAAGTTGTCCATTGTATTCTGTGCTTCCCGTGAGGTGTGTAGGTTTTCGTAATGCAGTCGACTACCGGAAGAAAGAGGGAGGTAGAGAGTAGGCAGCCTTGTCTGACTCCGGTTATTCTTTGGGATGTGTCAGTCGGCTGTCATCCATGCACGACTGTGCAGTTTAGTCCGTTGCATGAATTCCGGATGATGTTGATGATCTTGTCAGGCACACTATAACGTCGATTAAGCTTACATAAGATTATCCTATTCACACTATCAAATGCTTCCTCATAGTCAATTAATTTGATGTATAATGACGTTCCATTCAACTGGTTGTTCAATAATGATCCGTAGTATCGCAGTTGGGTTTGTGCACGATCGGTCTTTGTGGAGTTTGGCCTGTTGACCAGGAAGTGGGGCGTTTACTGAGTTTCACCCGGTTCAGCAACACTCAGCTGAAGACTTTTGCTGGTATCGATAGTAGTGTGATTCTACTGTAGTTTTCATTCTTGTTCAATTTTCCTTTCTGTAGTATGCTGAAGAGGTATCCTTCTCTCTAGTCCATCGGCTCTTGTTCTTCCTCTTATCCTATGAGATTCACGTCCTATTGGTGCTTTACACAATTCTTTGGACTACACCATAGCAGGTCCCTGAATTTGTGGAGCATTTTTCTTCATTGTCCGAGTACAGAAGCACCTCTATAGAACTTAACCTTTTCTGTCCAGCTTGGGTACAATGTGTTTCGCTGATTCCGAGAACCGTCAACTTGTATCTTCTGGTTCTCCCTCCCACATTTTCTGGACATTCCGTCTACCTATATTAATTGTTACTCTAATTGTTTGAAGGGGCATCGTCCTCGTGACTTCCGAAGAATCTCGACTTTCACCATGAGGCGTCATAATTCTTGTGAATGAAGATGCTTCAAATCGGAGAGCAGGGTTTAGATTGCTCACTCTGATTAGCGTATTTTAGCAGCGTTGTTTTCTGCACGGTGAGATTGTTATGACCAGCCTTCCTTTACTCGGCTCGGGACCGGCAGTCACCCTGAAATGTCTGCAGGTGAAGTTATATATATATATATATATATATATATATATATATATATATATATATATATATATATATATATATAAGCTTGAGACGGTGTATCTATGCATATGCGTATGCCGTTTTGATACAGATATTTGGTTTCAATTAGGTTTAGGTCAGGAATTTCCGTATCAGTTGACTATTTCTCCGTTTAGTTGAAAAGTATTGATCTGCTGTCTAGACTGCGTGAGAATACGTGTCTTCCTTGACCTTTATTTTTTTGGTGAATCAATAGACTAAAACCAGAAATAAATACTAAATTACATCATTTTTGTAATTAAGACAACATCTATTGTTCATTCTCAGTTTCGCTATTTTTTAACATTACAAATGATGTAAACATACATTTATAAGTGGAAATTATTATTCTTATTGAGTTTGAAGCTCTAGGACACTGGATTTCTCCGATTTACTATTCTAAAGGTAACACACTCTTCACAACAAATGAAGGTTTCATGAGCAATTCCTTACAGAATCTCCTTTTCACAATCCTGAATATTTGTATACTAAAATCAGGCACATATTCAGTCCACCCTGGTTTTTAATAGTTTTTATTCAACTGTTTTTATTCTGTCATGAATTTCATTTTAAGCTGCTTTTATGTATACCAGAGTATTATGCTATCTTTGATCAAGTTTAAATTTCAAATAGCATGTGCTATAAAGTCAGTTGATTTTTTTTCCGTGGGATTATCCAGATGAATTTTTGTGCGTAGCTGAGAAACAGTAAATTTATGAATTTTCCCAGTCTATTTTTACTTATCATCCTCTTGGTTTATGTTATTTCTCGGATATATGATAATAATGATTATTTAAATGAAATTATTTATGTTTTGACTAAAATTGGATCAACTACTTAAATATTATTGGCCTATCAGTCTATCTTTTCTGCTGCTCTATTTTATCATTAACCCCGTTTATATATATAATACTTGGGCTTCCGATCCGGAACATAAGGTTTTCTCAGGGTATCACTCTTTGAGTCTTCAACCTGTATTTCGAATCCACAAGGTAGTAAAGTAACATCAGGAGACTCAATCTCATGGTATTTGAAGACCAAAATAGATCTGTACAGAATTTATTCACATGAAATTCTGAAGCCCACTCTCACCTTCACTTTAGAATTAAGGTTTCCTCTTTTTTTTTAGGTGGATCCTGCGTTCCCACCAAATTGCAACCATTTACTTATAATATAGTCTAGTAGATTCATCAATAATCTTTCTAACATCCTTCACATTGCTACTTAACACAGCTTATTGTTTTCCTGAAATAAAGTCCAAAATGAAATAAAAGAGAAACGGTGTAAAGGAATAAGTAATCGAAATTATTGAAAAATTGCAGTGAAGAATTTTGATTTATGTCGAAAACGTATTATATTTTTGTATAAAATACTTTAGACGGAGAATTTTTTTGATATTAGCAAAATATTTGGAATCGAGGAGTGGTTCCAAAAAGGCTACTTCAACTAAGATAAATACTATTTAAACTACTCTTTATAAGTAGTACACGAACACTACAGAAGTGTTTTCATAGTTACGTGAATATTATTGTCTTCAATGAATGGTTAAGGAGGTTTATCTATTGAACCCTATTTAAGTAGTCTAAATCGTGTGATAGAGAAAGTTTAAAAAATTTTCACTTTAGTGAACAAAAACACTTACCTAAAAACTTTCCACATATCTCACAATAAAGTCCTAATAATTTTAATATAAAATTAATTATTGAGTAATGTAATGTTGTCCAGATTGAATTTACTACAATCCATTCGTTTATTGGTTGAATTTGGACTATTGCGAAAGACAACAATATTTTATAATTTAATATTCTGGTTTCTTGTTTGATTTTACTGTTACATAGAAATAAAGTTTCCAATTGTTTTACCCAGAATTTTATTTTGTTGAACAAGGAAAAAAGGATTGTTCTTTTTATTTTATTAAATATTCTGCTTTCTACTGCCCTAGTTGTTTATCTGATTCATGATGCATTCATACACATATATAAATATAAAACAGACTAGCATTATTTTCTGTAAGTTAAAAAGGAAAAAAGATATTTCCTGTCTCATACTTCACGTTAGGAAATTTATTGCGGCCCTAGATTGCTTTTTCTCTCAATCTTTAACCGATCAATGTCTTTGTATTAGTAGAACAGAATGGTCAATGTCAATCTAGAATCATGTCTGTTAAAAATTCCACTTAACCAATCAGAGAGGGTGATTTATGATTTATTGACCTTGATCATATAAATTCCTCGATTCACTGAAGTGATTCGCCAAATTTATCTCCAAATATACGCTTCTGGTGTCCAAAAAGGGAACTTATTTTGGACCCTGGAAAGTTTGGGATTGAACACATTATATAGTTATGTCTGGAAAATTCAAGATGCTTTTGATTCGCATGACCTTACTTTACCGGAATTTTCAAATTACCAATTAAACCTTTTATATTCCTTTTGGAATTTATTAATATGTATTAATTTCTTACTTTATTGTTTTTCTTATTAGAAGGAAGTAGTTATCCCACTTAATATTAATGTCTTGAAACCGTCGAAATAACATTTGTCTCAATAAATATAACGAACCTTGTATTTGGAATACACTTTCCGAAAGTTAGTGAATTGAGAAATCAAAAATTATAGGTGGTAAAATTAAAACCTTGGATAAAGACAAAAACTGAAGGTAGTTGCAATGGAGTTCTAGCCGTGTCACTGAAAATCTCTAAACAGTAACGTTTCCTGACACAATTCAGCTCACCAGTCAATAACTATTTGGACTGATGCCATATCTCGGCATGGCAACATTAATCCTCCTTTTCTCTGTTAACTACAATTGATTTTCGAAGTGGTTGATGGTCGGCTATGTATTACACTACCCTGCTTGATATAATTTATTTTTAAATAGTTATAGAATTACGATCACATAACCATGCTTCATCGTCTCTTTAACTACTATTTAGTTAATCTAACAATAATGATTGCACTAAATCCGTCTGATCCTCTCTATGTGATCTATAATCCTTTTTTTAATTATCCCCTTTTTCAATGTGTTTATTTTGTTGCTTGTTTCTTCTCCCTCTTACTCTTTTCCTTCTACTACTAATCTTTTGTTACTTTTTTTCTCTGTTATTTCCCTAGCAAATCCCAGTAACTATTCGAGAATTACAAAAACTACAAGTTTTAGACTTGGAAGAAAACCATTTAGAAAGTTTACCGCCAGATATTGGTATGTGGTCGTTTCTTTGTTTGTTTTGAATGGTGCTTTTACTGTGTAAAAATCCTCTTCATTTTGTTAACGTTGTCTTTCTAATGCTTTTTTTTAAGGGGAAGGGATTTTATCGAGGGCTTTTTTTTGTAATCTATGACTGACATCAGTTAATGACAGCCGTTTCCTTCTAGTTTTTTACTTTATAGCAACACACATCCATACACCTACACGGAGCCCACTCTATTACATATGTCTAATTTTAAGAGGTATATTTTATATTTACAAAATAAGTAATGTGACCGAGTTTAAATACAATCAATCTCATTTCATTCTTTTATATCATTATAGTTTACTAGTAACTCTCTAACGTAATGAAGTGGGTAAATTTGTTCAATATATATTGGAATTTGATTACATTACTAGTACATAACAGATGATTATTCATTCACTGCAGTCTACTAAGACCTGTAAATTTTACTTTTTATAGTCAAGTAATTCACAAAATTCTACTGGCTTTGGATTGAACTATTCAGAAGGAATATTTTATTATATATCCTGTAATCATAAACTATACTATACTTCGATAATAAAAGAAATCATGTCTTACAAACAATTCTGATTTACAGAAAACAAAAAATAACCTGATTCGAATAGCTTATCTAATTTGTTAGATTAATTATGTAAATTCATTTCAAAGATCTATTGAATTTGAACACTTATGTTGACTAGGCATATATGTGGTGTGTGCTACTCATATTGACAGATATAGGTAGTATATATCAGCAGTCGGGAGTGGATTACTTGTCAGTGAAGGATTGAGTTGAAGAGAACGGGAAGGGAAACAGCAGTTATAATAACAATAGAATTGAAAGAGTCGTGGAGCATGTAAAAGACAACTAAAAGAAAGTGCGCAAATAATGTAATTAGTGTATGGTTTTCATATTTTATGAAGGCAGTTTGTAACTTTGAATTGATAAATAAATTAGTTTTGCCCACCTGAGTTCCTATTCACTACATATAAATATTGGTGATTTAGTGTGAACATATCAGTTTTGTAAAAGAGAGATGGTTGATCAATCATTCTCAACTCTGTGTTTTTTTTTCTGAGACGTTAAATAATACTTGCTTTAATTCTACCCATTTACTTTTTTTACGATTTTATTCAACTAACTGTAGAATTAAAATTAAGTAAATTTGTTTGATCATATAAACGAACCTTTTGATATAATTCCTTAATAAAAAATCAATGGTAGAAAAAACGTATTGGGAACTTGTGATATGCATAGTAATTATGTGTGTCAAAACGAAACAGAAAAAGTCACTTGTTGTTTTTTACATTATCTGTATTTATGGATGATATTCATTTCAAGTGTCGGTTTTCAAACCATATACACTATTACTTCTGGGTTCATAATCATTTTGAATTTCCACCATTTATTGATTTTTATCAGGTTATCTAGGCGAACTTCAAAGATTGGTGGTCCAATCGAATAGACTGACTAGTTTACCTCGAGAAATTGGGTAATTATTATTTTTATTGTCTTTCATCTAACTGAGTTATTTGATAAACAGAGATATTAATCGTATTTTACGTGTTTGTGTGCCTTTTTGTCCAAGTATATCGACCCTTCAATTCAAATATAATGCCTAAAGGTTGAAAATCTGGACAATAGAATATTCATTTCGATTTTTTTTCTGCGTAAATATGAAATTCCAGACTTCTATGGCGTTAATTTTTTCACCATTCATTAACACCAAAGCCGTAGGATGTTTGAAAAACAGAAAACATTGAAAAAATATTCTGGACCAGCTTAAAACACTAATCTGTAGTGATCAGTCACAAAGTGATACCTAGTCGGTCCCCTTGACCATGATATGCATCTGGATTACTAAGTTGCGATAGAATAGTTCATTTTTCCGAATCCCATTAATTTAACATACTGTACATCGATTATTCAGTTTCATCGATGGTATCTTTTGTATTCTCAACACGGTGTAAGTGCGATGATTACAGTTTTTCACTATTGGAAATTGTGGACTATGCACTTAGGACCTAGTAACAGAAACATAGTATAATAATCTACTTGAAACTTTTACATCCTTAATAGGTGTGTGCGGTTTATAGTTCGCACTAATGAGAAGTAGTTCTTAATCAAGTCAAAGTAGTTTTACACTTTATCTAATTTTCAGCTACTTTCTGAGCTGTTATGCCTGTGTTTAACGTGTATCTGATTTCTTGTTGAGAAAATCTATACAAACAACTTATTTTATGTATGTTTCTTTTAAAGTTATTACTTAATGTAGTTATGTAGCATTTATTGCAATATTAAATTTTAAAATGTGTGAGAATAACCAAAGTCTCTTATGTGTAACATGAAACTGACTTCGGGCTAATCAAATAATAGTAAACCATATTAATGGAAATTAATACATAGCGTATTGTACTCGGACGTTTTAATAATGACTTCGTACATGGTTCCTAGATCTCTAGAATTTTTCCACTTTTTGGACTGAAAAGGTAGAGTAGAGCGAGTGAATAGAAATAGAACTTTCACTCCAACTTCTTTAGTTATACAAAAAAAAACAGTATATGTTATGGTTAACCTTGATGTTCTTGAAACTTTTCGATCAAACATTTAATGATGTTATTTAAGCTACTTATCAGTAGTAAATTAATTTATGGAAACTAATCTAGAATTTCGGAAATACTCACCAGTTATCCAAGTTCTCCATACCATACAATATTGATCGGTTATGAAAAAAACTTAGTACGCTCATCATCATGTACAGACAAAATGAGATGCAGAATGAATGAACTGAGAAGTTTTTTTCCTTGTCATGATCTAATATCTATTCTTAGAAATCACAGCTAAACTACTACTGACGACTAGTGTCATATTGTCAAGCACACTGATGTGTGATTTATATATCTTATATTCCCCTTAATGAATCAACAATTTAATTCTACATTTTGGTTGTTAATATATCTATGAAGAGTGTAATTTTGCTCAAGTTGTTGGAAAATTAATTAACTTACTTCCTTGTTATTCGCTCTCTATTGGACAATATTTTAATCGGTTTTATAATTTCAATTATACTCAACAGTCGAGGAAGTTCTTCTTAATAAATACCTTGGCGACTTATTATTTTACAGTGTGTGTGTATAGTTTACTTTTCTGTTGGATAAATTAGTCAGTAGTTTTAAAGTTCAACTCAACTAGAAAATGTAATCAATTATTACTTGCAATGAATAAATTGAAACTTTAACTCACATCTCAGATAATTTCGGATTATAAATAAACCGTTAAACATAACAATTATAAATGAGAAGATTCAATAACAATGAGCTTTACAAGAACATGCTACTCTGTGGACCCTTATGTATATAAAAATATAGTTTCAATTGTAACGTGCATATGGAACCTAAAGTTTTGTTGGCAATAAACCTGTCATCCATATTTATTATTCTAGTATTTTATGGATACGTTAATGACTATAGATTATCAATGCACTACATTGATTACTTTGTCATTATTATGATTATTTATGTTCTCAACAAGTCATCGATTGTTAAGGGATTCAAGCAGATACCAGAAAAAATATAATGCACGGATTGAGAAGTATATATATACAATTAATATACTGATCATTAATTCAATCATCTCATGGTGCATCATCTTTTCTTTCAAGGTTATTTCGCTAGTGTTCTGCTGATAATTATATCAGTTTGCATTGATGATAGTCGTTTTCTTTATTACTTGAACCTTTAATTGAAACTTTGAATTTTTATTTTTCTGTTAACAACTTCATCATTAATTATCTAAATCTGTATATAAACGCCTGTTCTAAACTTATTTTGCTTTATCTGTGTTTTTCAGTCGCTTATATAATTTGATTTATTTAGCCGTTGGTGAAAATGAACTACAAAGTATACCAAATGAAATTGGTGAGTTTTATTTCTCTATTATTATTATTATTATTATTATTATTATTATTATTATTATTATTATTATTATTATTATTATCTTTAAACTACTGTTATTATTACAAGCTTTCCATTGTATTTTGATTGGGTTTTTTAAAATTAGGTTTTAATAACCTTCACTGTTGGAAAAAAACAGCGTTGTTGGTCATCTATTCAATGAACCTCAATTTCATATTTAATTAAATATTTTATTTTTTATCAAGGCAATTTATAGAGATTTAATCTTGTTTGAATATTTTGTCAATAAATAACAGCTTTACTATTACCTCTCCCCTCCCTTTCACACACACACACACTCAATACGTATACTTTGGCAACTCTTTAATGATTGCAATTTGCCTCAGTTGGATTAGTAAAGTATCCTTGAGGTCACTTCGTTCGATTCTCAGTCATTCCAATTTTGATAGTGTTAGATCTGTCGAAGCGTCCAAGTCACCCGATTGAGATACTCGCAAATTCGAAGTTTCCAAAACAACGATTTGTCTACAATAGCGGTTCTTTATTAAATAATACACAAAATTTAGTTATAAACCTCAACTTGTGAGGTGTCTAGGCGTTTAAAAGCGTCCTTCAAAAATGAAAATAACAAAGGCTTCCTGTAAGAGTAACATAAAGAATAATTATAACATACAATAGTACAAAGGACAGCTGATAGCTGTGTCCAAATTTGATAACAGTTTAAGAACAACCGAAACCCGAACCAGGAGCAAACATTATAGAAACTGTTGCGTTTAAACAAATGCAAAAAACTGTGGATAACGGCTATAGCGATTAAGATACAGTAATTATAATTATAAATACAATGATAAGTACAATAAACGTTATAAGTATGTGTGAACATTTCAGAATATTACAGTGCAACTTGCGTTATAACATAAGTGTGAAAATTGTTGGGAATACAAATGCTTACTGAATGTAAATAAGTGGTATAAGACAATATACAAAAGAGTAGAAAGGGGACGAGTAGGAACAATGTAAGACAAACCTAACAGATAGTCTTTAATAAATCAATTATTCGGATCATAAATATAGGTTCAAAGTTTTACTAGCAAATAAAACAAGATAATGTAATGTATAAGATTTGGAAGAAATTAGTTATATTTAAGTAATTCATGTTTTTTAATTATATCCATTTTATTTTAATAAGTAATTAAGTTTTTATTTCATTATCATGACTTTAGTTGATAACTAAACAAATAAACTAATGATTCCGTACATATTGTTGAAAATAGAGTCCTAAATTAATAGAATTTCAAACTTTAAATTGTCAGTCACCATTGCAAGTAGTATAATGCAGGTAGTTGATATGTTGTCACTCTTCTTTGATATAGAAACTTCATTTTAAGTTAGAATTCACAAAATTGTATATTTGTTTGCTTTTTAACGTTGATAAAACACGCCATTATGCGTTAAGACACAAGCAGATATTCATTCATTTTCTCCAATCATATGTGTTCAACTGATTATTATCACTTTTACGTTTCTGTCTATACTATTTTCATAAATTTGAAGGTGATCTACATAAATTGGAAACATTATATTTAAATAATAATTTGAATTTACATGATCTTCCAACTGAATTAGCTATGTGTTGTAGTCTACAAATGATGTCCATTGAAAATTGTCCTTTAACTCAAATTCCTGTTGAAGTTGTAACTGGTGGTCCTTCACTAGTAATTCAAGTGAGTTAAAAAATTAAATTAAAAATTAATGTTTCCTGCTTACTGTATAATAAAATTTGTGCATAAATATATTAGATTATATTTTGTAAATATTCAGTAATGATACGAAACTATGTGTAAAATAGGAGATTATTGATAACACGGTATATTCTTTTATTGTTATTATTACTTAGCATTTTATGATATTGGAGTCACTGCAGTATTTGTAATTTTTTAGTCCATGAAAAAAACATAGAACATACCAAAGCACATCCATTGTTTAACACTACATCAGTCCAGAAATAGATTATTACAATTTGTAATATTCAGAAGTAAATGGTATTTACAAAAGCTAGAAGATATGCGAATCAACGATAGATTTGAACTACGCTCGATCCACTTTGGTGAAGACGGTTGATTATTATCACTAAGCCTCAGACAAACAATTTAACTCAAAGCCAGTTACATAATCCCTTGTAATTGTCAAATAAGTGAGTATTTAAATAAACTAGAGTGATTTCAGTGGATCTTCAAGAACTTAATAGAAAGTTCATGTTTCCGAAAAAAAGTAAAGCAGGAATTCATCCATACCATTATTGTTTAGTTCAGTCTATATAATTTGCGATCTCTATATTAAGCAGATTAATCATCAATAGACTTAATGAATTCATCAGAATATTGAAAACTTTGTTATTTTGTTTTAGATGTATAGGTTAATTGTTTAATACTGGATGCTTGTTGCTATATTCAACAAAGATAGCGTGCCCGTACACCAAAATAAACAATATTAGGCATACAGACCTTCAAATCCACTCTTTTACATGGTTTCGCATTTTTCCATGTATGTATTGCAGTATAGACTGATCAATAGCACAGGAATTTAAGTGAAACTTATTGATAGAAGTAATTTATTCACTAATACTTTCTCGATTACGTTATTTGCTAAATATAAGCTGAAAAAGTAAAAAATAAACAACTTATATACATTAATTGTGTTGACAGACTATACTTCGTTTACAGGTATTATATATTGTCTTCTATCCAATACTAAAGATCTAAATGTAGCTCTTATCATTGATTAAGTTGGACATCAAAAAATCGCCGGACATTTGTTTCATCCTGGCATGAATCTATTCATAATATATACACGCAACCCTGTCAAGAACCGTACCAATAACCTTTACACCTTGATTTATTTCTATCCCGAATTCAATCAAATCACGACTGTACCAACAGACTTTTAATTATGAATTCGCTTGTTCCTTTCTAATGATAACACTCAACAATATATTCCTTTAGAATTTCAATGTTTATTCAACTTTTGTGTTATGATCTTCAATTCATAGAAACGATTCAATATAACTGATATTCACTTGTTTTCAACACTATTTTTTATTACGCTTCGAGTTTGTGAACGTTAGTGATACTGCTAAAGTCTTAATTACTAATTATGCACTCAGAAATACTGTGCGAATTGTGTTCTGTTTTGTGCTTGTATTGTAATACTTAATAACATGTATGTTAGATAATTTTATTTAGTTAACTTTACTTATTCATAATAAGTACATTTCTTCAAACTGGTCAACCCATGTTGAACGGCTAATCTATTCATCTTGTACAAATCTTAAATATTGCCGTTTGTTATAATGTGTATTACTAACTTTGTTGCTACTGCTCTATTTAATCATGAATTTAACATTTTATTAAGCTTTGGTGCTTTTATGATTTTCAACTGATTAACCAGTAATTTTAAGTTGAATATTGAATTATCATACTTTAATGTAATTTAATGCTTCTTTTTTCTAAATATTTGTATCAGCAATTTTCTTTTGTTCTTTTTCCTTTTAGTATCTACGTCTACAGGGCTCTTTCAGTCATATATGAATCGTTAAGCTGTTTCAAATTATTTCTTCGTCTTCTCTTTGAATTTTCAACATCATTGAAATACAAAACAACAGGAAGTAAAAGTTTTCTGTTGTTAATGGATGATACATTGATTCCATATGTCAATTCAAATGTGTTTTTGTATACTTATATGCTCATAATTATGCACACATGTATGATAGCACGTTTGTGTACTTCAATTACTACAGAGCCTTGTGATTTAACATTATTAAACCCAACTTATTTTTGAAATATCTGATACTGCACAAAATATTTATGTAAATTACTCAGAAAGGATAAAAAGCTTCTTTCATCATTGTTCAGTTTTCAATAATATTTTGACTTGTGTACATGTTGATGATTTTCTTTGCATGTAATCGTTAGCTAACAAAAAGTTTATGATTGATCATTCGAGAAGTCTTTCGCTTCTGATTTTTGATTTATTTTTGTGAATATTTCTCTTAAAGTAGATCAGTAGAATATCGAAAAATGTTTGTGTAAAAAAATCAGATTTCTTAATGTATCAGTGTTTATATGTATTCATCTTTTCTTTTTCTCTTTAATTTTCTGTTAGTTAGTATATTTCCACCTTCGTAAGAGTTTTTTACTTATTATCTTGTCTCTAAAATCTAGTCTCAATGCACATGCATTTAATGTACTCTGTCGATTGTACTGTTAAGCCATAAACTTTAAAATGTAATTACTTTTGAATGGTTATCACACCCTTTAGAACGTTGTAATGTGACAAATTAATAACAAGAGGATATGAACTGTTTCGCGATATATATATATATATATATATATATATATATATATATATATATATATATTCAATCTCTTCTACTTGCATATCCCTAAATAAAACGAAACATCAAAATTCTGTGTAATTATTATTTTTTGTAACTTCATTTTTTTGTTCGTTTTAACTTTAAGACTATTTCTAACGGTTTATCATTATCTTCGTGTTTATTTCTGATTATTTAATTTTTTGTGACTTATAAAGGCGCATCTTTTCTTTGATTTCTTTATTCAGCTTCACTCTTTTCGCTTGTTGCTAATCAGTCAATTTTTATATATCTGAATGTTTATATCGCTTTTTCTAAGAATAATTTGATAAAATTGATTTTAGCTGAAAGACAGATTAGTGTTTTCTTTACAGAATTAAAAATTGTTGAGATACATTGTTGACATTTTACTGGTTTTAACTGCGATTAAGTTATCACATCATTGATGTGACATAACAAATATGGGTTGAGGATTCGTATCACTTTTCATTTGAAACAACTGGATTCTTATAGTCTTCAGTTTTAAATGTGACCTACTTAGTTCATTATCCTAAACTATATGTTGCACATTTTGTTTTCATCTCTAACAAGAGCAATGGAAAGTACTGTAAATGATTCCTTTGTTTATTATTTACTGTTGAACTACGATCCCGTGGTATGATTAATTTCAATATCTTTTGAACTGAACTGTCCAAGTGATATTTTTCTTGCCTAAAATAAGAATAAGCTAGCAATAGTTGATGAAAGCAGGTGTTACATGATAACTGAAGATAGTTGTAGAGAACTGAAGTGAACTTGGCATGCTATGAGCCAAAGCTTGTAATATGACGAATTCAAGTCAAACTTTTCATAACCGAATAATTGTGAGTTTTGACTATAACAACTTGCGTAATTGCCTAAGACATTGGGCGGTTAGGTAGGTACCCCAATCTCGAATATTCCAATGAAAGCTTGTGTCAGTTGCTAAACTAACTTTCACACATCCTTGAGATATTTTGGCCGACATAGAACAGTTTCCTTTCATGTTTTGCTGGTCATATGAACTTACTGACAAATTAATATAATGTAAATGAAAGTCTTGTAGGAGGTAATCAACAGGTTATACTGCAAAGCTATAAGTAAATTTAGGTGATATCAACACTTGGTCTGTTGTTTGTGTTCACTGATTGGAGTGAATGATTGATTTACAGTTAAATACTTCAAATGTGTTTATTTATAGTTATTAGTAATCCTCTGTTGATTGGCAGTCGGACGCCTTTCAAAATGCACTGAGTATTCAGAGTTTAACCCAATAAAGTAATTATCTTTATTCGAATGAATATGAATCAGTGATGATGACTCAAATTTACTATTTTGTAAAAAGAAAACTAAGTGATAGAGAATGATATCAAAAGTATGTATAAATAGGAATGTGTTCAATTTTTGAAATTTTGTCATGTAAACCACCGTAATGGTTTGGAACAATCCCTACATAAAAATTGTGGTATTGCATAAATATGTGCAACTTTTGCGTTGCACACAACCGATAACACGGACGATGAGCTCGGTATTTCCTCAAAATTCTGTTTAAAATCATCGAAGAACATTTCTGAACTGCCGAAACACCTTTTAAGCATGGTTAGTTTAGTTTTTGCCCCAATTTCGAAAAGAATGGATTTGATCTTACACTATTTGAAAGAACCAGTAGAAATATTTCTAATACAGTCCTCGAATCTTTACAAATTGGTAGGAAGAACTTTCAGTAGTTCTGAAATATGAGAAGATGAAAAGCTTAGTTTGTTTTCTCTGGTATCACAGTACCACGATATTTCTTGCGAAGTTAGCCTGTCATGTAGTAACTTTTTCGGAAGGTACATTTCTGGACCTGTTTTTCTACGGAACAAAATATTCCGTAATAACTTGGGAGCTAAGCGAAAGATGAAAAAGTGAATTTTAAATATTTGAACTGCTCCACTTCAATCACTTTATCCATTAAAAGTCCTACTTGAGAGGTGAGCTGCCCACTATATCCATGATATTGAACATCAACAGTCCCTCATATCTTTTGTACACTATTCCACCCTACGAGCACCTGGAAGTTGTCTTCATTTGACATGAAATCTAAAATTTTAGAACTGTCAGCCCAATCAGCGAGAAGAGGGTAGAAAACTATGGTACAGAATCAGATAATATGTTACAGGAGCTTGTTTTAACCGTACATATGACATACAACAATCTATCCATTGGGATAATTTTCCGGTTTAGGCTTAAATCCAGTGCTTATTCTGTGAATAAGAAGGAAATCACCCAGGTAAGTCCAGAAGAATAGCACATGGGGAAGTTATATAGTATGTGATCGATAAATGTGCTCGTTAGCAAGAGAGTCTTTCACCAAGTGTACTGCCCTTTTGTCCCTACTCGGACCATATCACAAACCGAAATATAGATATTATCTTCCTGTCTTTGAAAAAGATCGTCTCACAGATTTTTGTTTTCTTATCTTTACACTTGAGGTTTATAATGCAACTGAGCAGGCATATGTTGTATTAGATCGAACTGTATAATCTGAAAAGCGCATTTTAAACATTCGTCACGCACTCCTGAACTCATGATAAGTGTGATGCTTGTAATTTACAGGGCAAGTAAATAGGATAATTGAATCAGGAGCAGTAGAATCCTACTTACGGTGTTTATTACAGCCAATATCAAATAATTACAACTGGGTACTTATTTTGGAATGCCAGATCTTGCCAAGCATATGGGCTGTCAAGCGAACTACTCAAACGTTACTAGCTTACTTGCGTTCCATTGTGTGAACGGATCATGGTTTGATGCCCCTCATGACCTACCTCTAACCACAATTCATATATTTCTTCCTCTTTGATCATTTTTAAAATCTGGATTATTTAATTTGAGATCGTTCGCTAGATGCGATTCTGACAGTAGTGTTGTTAAATCTTGCGCATGCTACATCCCTTTGGCCTTAAGTAAATAGTTTATTTATATTTGACACTATGTTTACATCAGGTGAGCGACGTAGGAGATAAATAAACACTTATATAGGTTTGGATAACATAAAGTACATGGCTTTCAAGAATATACTTGCAACCTTGCAGTATTTGGCCGACGCCCCAACTTTATTTCGGAATGGTTTTACATTGTTGGAATCAACGTGAAACTTCTGAAAATGTTAAATAGAACTATTGCAAATACGTTTAACCTGATTGATTGGTACATCATACCGTTGAAAAAGACAAAGGTGTCCTTGTTATAAGTATTCCTGGTCGCTTTTTATGAATACGAGGCCAGTGAAGTTTAAAATGAACCAATTATGTCTGTTTGCGTGAAATAGTGATACTGCTTTTGTATTTTCAGATTATTTTTTTTCATTTGTATACTCTACCCTCATTATGATGGTACATAAACCTAGGTTGTTTAAGACTTTCACCGCTCACCCTTCAACTCATTCCATACTGACCCATAATATCAAAGCGAGGTTCTGCTACATAGAATCTGACTCCTGCGAGCGCTACATAACAGGCATACATGCACAATTCCTCGCCGTAATGAGGGCACTACAGCGCGATTTCACGGGTACGTCACATCCAGTGTGTTTACTAGCGACGTTCCTGAACCTTACGACACTGTAAAGAACGCTGTCTTCAAACGCAAGGACCTAACAAACCGACAAATGTTAGATCAGCTTTTCAATAATTTTGAGCTTCGACATGGCTCGGCAACAGAAATGTTACTAAGTATTAGATTTAATTGATCAACGGTCTCTTTATCCGAGCCTGTTAAGAACTTCTTTCTTGTATAACCATTCCCAACGAGTACAGGCAGTCCTTGTCTCATTTCAGAATAACGCTGTAGACTAACTTACAGGTTAGTAGTCAGAAATACTTATCTATCTTTTTGTGTAACCTTTTCCGCTTGTAGTTGATCCTTGTTACACTAAAGCAAACGATCGATCCATGCTGTCAGCAAGTACAGCATAACTACTACGACCTGTACCAAACACGACCGAAATTACTACGTACAATCAGCAATGATATGCATCAAATCACGACTACAGGACCACCGGTTAATTCGAAAGCGCGCTGACTAGCTCCCAAAAAGTGAGGTTGGCTAAAAACGAATTCCAACATCTGACAGACTAAAGAACCGTTCGCCCAACAAACAGCAAATGAGCATCTCCCTAGGACATGGTCCCTAAAACGGACAACAACGATCGGT